ACCTGATTTTCCTCTAACTTTTCAGTAAGATCTTGTGTATTCTTCAGTTTGTGGAGGTTGAGCAGATGCATCGGTCGCGTGTGAGTCCATGTCTGGTGAGAGAATTTGTCTTTGTCAGTTTGTGGAGTGGGCAGCGAGGGTTTCTCTGAGGAATGGAAATTGGTGTGGAATTATTTGAGCCGGAAGTTGATATTTTTGTGTGGTTTGGATTTTTACTCCTTTGTAGGCATTTCTCCCTGTTCTCTATTTCTGTTGAGATATGTAGTCAGAGCTGGACATTTTAAATAATTCGCCGGGTGATTGTCTTTGCAGTTTTGCGCAAGGTGTCACTAGCGTTTTTGTGTAGCTTCTTGTGTTCTGCTGACATGCGCATTTTACGCCAATTGGTTTTTTTTTGTAGTTTACGAATATGTGTCTGACACCGGAAACACTGAGTCGTGGATTTTAGAGCCTCGTATTTTTCCCAGTGAAGTTTAATGTTTTCGTCATATCTGACGTGATTTAGTTGTGTCAATATGGTGCTTAGGGCGAATGTTAATTTGTAAATTAGGTATCTGGTATGTGTAGGGAATTCTGAGTAAAGTATAGGATTGAGGCCTTGGTTTTTAGATTCTCTCACGTATTCTTGCTCCAGGAAGTCGAGCTGTATTAGGACCACTGTAAAGATTTTCTCTAAATTTGTCGTGAAAGTATTTTCTTCGGACACCCGTCTTGAACGTTCATGAAATCTGTTTGTTTGGTGAACCTTGAGTTTGCTACAGATGAGTTTAGTTTGAAAATTATTATTATATTTCATTTTTAATACATCAAGGAGCTTTATGTGGTTGATATTTCCGTGTATGTAGAGTTGAGTGCGGGTGGGTCAGATTAGTTTGGTTGGATCTTGTGTGGCGTGTTAGTTTGTGTTAGTATGTTTTTGTTTGTTTCGTTGTCATGGAATTCTATGTTTTGATCACTATCAAGACATTCCACGTGAACGCTATATCTATTTCCTAATGGGATTTTTTGATTTACAAATCTCCATACCTT